ACGCTTATGATCAAATTGAAACAACTCACATATGAACTTACAGCAGAAGCCGTGTTCCCGTCTATTCTCATAAAATGAGAATCGGAGTTGGGCTTCCATTTTCGTAACATTTTTTCGATGAAATCTATTATTATATATAAATTTATTTGTTATGTAAACAAAAATCCAGAAATAAACTTCATCAAAAAATTTATTCCATTACCTAAGGTCGGTATACTCTTAGAGAATATAAGTACTTTGTCTTTCTTTGCTTCACATTTTTCCAAGATTTTCATTAACACCGACATCTTACAGCTCTCATTAATCTCATCCAAATCTATGAATGTTGAGCTATGTTAAAAAAGTTTTTTCAAATCATGTTTCGTTAAATAATATATATGTTATATATAAACCTGTCATTCCGCTCACGATTTTATAAATATATTCGCGAATGGTTGTTGACAACCTAAATTAAAGGAAAATTAATTATAGGATAATAAAAATGTATTTACAAGTAATAAAATACTCACTTAGTATCATCTATTGCATTTACTTCACCATCATCACCCGTCAAATCTATGACTAAATATTGATTTTTTTTTGATTATTAATCAAATATTGTTAACTACTATTAATATAATAACGGTATACTTACCAACTTTTTCTTTGACCTTATTCTCTTTACTTAGGCTTGGCTAAATAAGTTCATAATGCATTCATTAATATAGTAGTGAGGTAATGAAAGATGAGTATACATTGTATTTAATAAAGTACCAAAACTATTCCAGGATGGTTACAGAGAACACATAAAAGATGTGAGTATTGTATATTGGGACCACCTTCCTTTTGTAATGCATCAATTAAAGCCTAATAAATGCAGAATATTCGAATTTATTAAATATGGTATACCAAAGAAGGGCGATCGATTGAACCAAACACGTTAAATTTACATTATATATATCTAACTGACGGCCTTCCATCCTGCAAGAAACAAGATATTCTACTTTTGTAGTCAGTTCTTTTTCCAAAATACCAAGATTTCTCCTGCCAAAAGCAAAAGATTTAAAAATATATCTATTTTCAAAAAAAAAAATGCAAAAAACTGAGTTTAACGTATACCTATGAACAATATCTTCGATAATATTGCCGAGTACGTAAAGCATTTTTCTTGAAAGCTAAGTTGTAACGTTTGTTTTAGACAGATAACAGATATGATATGAATAGGATAAGATACATTAAATAGTCCAAACCTTTTCATCTGCGAGATCGACTTGTTTGTACAAACCATTCTGAATAGGTTGCATATAAACCTTTCTGAAATCCTCAAGCTCACCCAAATAATTAGGGCATACAAATTGAATCTGTTTGTGAATTAATGACAATTTTTTTTTTAAAAAAAAATTAAGATGGTCTTTATACTCATTAAAATTCCTGATCATACATACCATACACCAATATTCAACCTAATGTTATTAACAATTAATATAATTAATATTCGTGAATTTCAAACAGTATCAGAACTTTTAGAAAAATATCGCTAACCAAATTATTTTGTAAAGGTGATCCAGTCAATATTATCCGACTTGGAGTTTTTAGCTTCTTAAGAACATCATTCAATTTTGTCTACACACAATTTATCACTTATAATTACAATTCTGTTATGGTCTTTAAATATAAATCACAAACGTAAAAACCCACTTACATCCTTTGTTTTAAGTATATGACCTTCGTCTGCAACTACTAAAGATGGGCCAGGGTCCAATAAACAATGGCGATAAGAACCTTGATGGTTTGAGTTTGTCAATATAAGTTGCCTATACATTTCATAACCAACCAGGAGCACACCTCCATTTTCAAACCACTCAACAATGGTTTTTTGACGCTGGTCAACGTTATCTAATCAATAAGTTAGGTAGTCTTTCAGAACTCGAATAAAAAATTGAAATAAATTGATTGCAAATTTAAAATTATATAACTTACCATTAAATTTATAAAAGCTGAAAATCTTACTCACATCTTTTAACCAGTAATTGAATTCGTTTTCCCAATTGTCTACAACAATTTTTGGGCAAAGAATCAAAATTTGGAATTTCTAAGGTGTGAATAACCCATATTAATTAGAAAATTATGAAAATTATATTTATATAAAAAAAATTTTAAAGATTAAAGCTTTACTTTAAGATGATCAGGTATAACTGTATTGTTACTATATCCCCGAATATGATAAGCCAGTGTAAATAGAAACGTTATCACTTGATAAGTTTTTCCTGATCGTTACATCAATAAAGCAATAAGTATTATGCACTTAATTTCTCGAAATATATCTCAAAATAAAATAAATAAACCTACCTAAACCCATTGAATGCGCAAGAACACATCCTTTATTGAACATTATTATATTCTTCCACAAAAACCGAACTCCTTCAATTTGATGAGATTTCAATTTATTACCTATATCAGGTATATAAATATGTTCCTCATCGTCATGATGGCCCAGATTAATAATAACCTTTAATAAATTAAAAAGATCAATTAACAAATCACAAAAAATATATCTATATATATATATAAGGATAGAAGATACATACTCCTTCAGAAGGATTGACGAGTTTTGCTTGCCTATTTATGCAATATAAATATAAAATATCAGTATCGAAATGTTCCATACTTAATAATAAATATATGTAACTTACATTTCAAATCTGGCTCTATAATCTTGTTCAAGCATGCTCCTGGCTTTACGTTGTTCAATTACAGTCTTTGATTCCTTCACCTTTCTTCTTCGTTTAGATTTTTTAGGGGAACTGGATTCTTTATCAAAATCGTCTGATTCTTCTTCGCTGTCTCCCACATAATTCTTTCCAACATGAGATTCGTTCTTTGACTCAATTTCTGCATGTCTTTGGACATAAAATATTATGTCACAAGTTATAAAGCAATGACAATCATAAATAACGAAAGTCATAGTATACGAACCTTTTGTTATGATTTTCCATAACGTAAATTTTCCTCCACTCATAATATTTTGAGAAAACATCAATGTTATTTATATTTAGCTGCTTTAGCTTACTACCTTTACCACCTTTTCTACATAACATATGTAGATACCTTCTAAATTCGTCATATATTCGTATTAAGACTGCCTGATCTTCAAACTCCTGATTACAATCGAAAGATAATTGCTCCGAGAGTATAATTATTTTATCATACAACTCTAACGAAGGGATGGTCGATTAGATTCGTTCTAACAAACGTTATCATCATTAATTTATTTGATTTACGTTACCTTGACACTTATATTTAAGAAAGGCAGTATCAATTTTAGAATGCATTTGTACTGGTTCTTCATAAACGTCATCATCATCAAGGTATTCAAAATCCGGTATGATGTTAACCTTTGACACAGAATACGCAAGTTTATTAATGACACTTGCTTGATAAACCTCGGATACATCATCATCTATTTCCATATCACTGGCCATTTCTACATCACTATCTTCTACAACGATGATTTCAGAGGGATTAGGTTTTCTACCAGCATTAGGAACAAAAGTTATTTCTTCTGTAAGCAGTTTCTTTGCCGAAGAATCATCGCTATCAGAAGTTTTAATTTCTGGAGAATCTTTTGAAATAATATTATCATCAGCAAATGATACATTTGTATTGTGAGATGATATATTTTTTTCAAGTGCATCCGATTCTCTTGAATCATGCACTTCACGTGATTTTTCGGAATTGACACGTGCAACGTCATTTGCGATGACTTCAGTAACCTCGGGTAAATCCGATAATTTCATTGTTTCAACCGTTACTACGAAAGTAAGCAATATTATTACGATCGTTAAATTTTTAATTATATAATACATTGAACAAAAAGACTTACGTTTAGGAATTCTGTATAATTCTGCCCATTCCAAATTATAAGTATTTATATCTACTGGCTCAGAATCATCGATGAAGTCTGATTCATACTCTTCATAGTCATCAGTAACTTCGTTTGGATTCGCCTATAATAAATTATACGTTTAAAAATGATTATTATAATTGAAAACTGGATAATTTAAAAAGTACCTCTTTATTATCTACATTGTTAACAATTTTCTTTTTCGTTGAAGTTCTTGCAGATTTCTGTGGAACTTCAGGTCTAACTAAGAGAGCAAAGATCCATTCAATTTCGAAAACCTGATGCAAAGTCATGTCCAATGCGCCACATGCACGTCTCACAGAAGATTTTCCTAACGTTAACTCTTTTACAGTATTAAGATTTGACTTGACTTGTTCGATCAATTGAGGAAGACGCTAAAATTGAAAGTTAATTGAGTACAAAAAACAAAAGAGTGCTTAAACAAAAGTTACAGATTCAATAATAATAAATACCTCATTTCTCAAATGTTTCAATTCTTGTTGTAAATTAGCCATACGAGTAGTATTTTTGGTGTTTAATTTTCTCGGAAAGTATCTTGACCAATAATAAAAAGCTTTATCCTCAAGTTGTGGTTTTCTATGAGTATAGAAACTTTGTTTAGACAAAATCATAAAATATTACCTTCGAAAGCTAATAATAATTCGATACTTGCTTTGTAGAATTCCATCTTTCCCTTTCTCTTTCAATATACAGATTAATCAGATGCTCGACTTTTATTTCAAAAGTTTCCTCATCTTCACTTAAGATGGTTTCATTAACGGTAGGAGAAAATTTACCTTCTGAACTCACATAAATGAAAGGAGTAGATTTTTTACCCTCTCTCTTAGCTAATTTCCTTTCTTCTTCCATAATTTCTTCCTCAAAATCACTCGTTAGATAATATAATTCTTCGTCACTATCACCGTAAACCTTATGTAATCAAAAAAATAATTCAAGAATGCTTTAGTAAACATCATAATCATGTAAGTTTATATTCATACACACCGGAAGCAATTCATCATCTTCCGCATACATCCATTTGGTTGCATATCCAAAATTTTTTTGGGATGCCAGGATTCTTTCCTCCTCTTTCTTTGAAATAGGATCTTTTCCGACTCTGATTGCATGAAAATTCGATAAAATTTCGGGTTTGTTTCCGAATTCAGATGAATCCATATTATTTACATGAACATTATTGTTCTTTTTAATTCGTTGCCCCCTCATGATGAGGTCCTCCTCATCATCCATATCCAATGCATCGCTATCCTCATTTTTACTAAGAAAACTCTCACAATCACTATCTTCATCGCTACCGTTTGCAAAATCTTTATTAGAATCGCTAGATATAGCTTCAGAGGTTTCATCGTCACTAAAATCAAAATTTACAGCAGTATTATCTTCTGATTTATCAGAAACCTGATCTTTCATTTCATTAACTACTGGATCAAAGATAAATGATGATGACGTAGGTAAAATTAAAGGGACAATTTGAGGCCCCTCTAATATATAATTATATAAAAAGGTATACGTATATATTTATATATTTTATATATTTTTATAATAATTTATTAAAACGTTTAATCTAATATAAACTTGTTATTAAAAATTTTAATTACCATTTTCTAGCTTTAACTCCTGTATTCCATTTAAGATTTTAAACCTGGAGTTATATGATATAACGCCTAAGCGATTTAGCAGAATATTATCTGTTATATGATTCAACAATATTTCGCCGTTGATTTCATTTTCTAAATATTTAAAAGCAACGAAAAAAAAAAGTTATAACTAATTTTTGATTTTGTTTATATATATATATATATATATATATTATTCTTTACCTTCAAATATCTTTAGAACTTGTTTATCAAGTTTTAGTGAATTAGCAAGCCAATGTTTTACGTCTTTTACACTCCATTTCATAGAACTCATTTTGATAAAATATAGTTTATTATTTAAGAAAAAAAAAGGAGAGAATGAGTTTGTGAATGGTACATGATGCTTGATTGTTTGTGTGCTTTATAAATATTTACGTTTGTAACAAAAGGCAATGATCGTCACGAAACTGTCCGAAAAACAAGAATAATTCAACTCACGTGCTATCTTTCCGAAGACCCTTCCTCATATTTGGTTAGCATTTTTTAAAAAAAATTAATTTTAAAAAAAAAAAAAAAAAACTGATCATGATAATAGAAAATGATCATCATTTATTATTAAATCTATTTTTATTTCTAAAATTCCAAAAACCTTTCCAAGCCATCAGAAAGAAAATCAATCTGAAATTATTTTAATTCGGATATTTATTTATCCGCGATTTAATTTAGAAAAAGTCAGAAAACCCACAAAATTTTGCAGCACCACGATTTTGATTTATCAATTTGTTCAAATTTTTTTTTTTTTTTTTTTTTTGAGGGCGTGTTAAGGCAAATAAAAAGATAATATGATTGTAATTCTATACGTCGAAACGAACATTTTATGACACGATATAACAAGTTTTTCAGCGTTTATTTATTATTCACGATTAGAACCATGTTTAATAAAAATAATGAATATTTATTTTTTATATATAAATTATAAATAATTGATACAGAAGGAAAACATGTTATGATACTAATTAAAAGCTCTACAAGCGCTCTAATATTCTCATCGTTTTCTTTTTACACCTTTAATACCATTAATTTCTTTCTTATTCCTTTTTCCTTTCACCATTTCCTTTCCTCTTCCTTTATTTTCACTGTTCTTATTCGCACCAGCCTTAATTCCATGACCCTTATCATTAATTCCTTCAGACTTCACTTTAATGTTTTGTCCTCCCTTCTTATTTTCCAATTTAATTCCTAATTCTTTTAAAATTAAATTTGCTCCAGACTTTTCGTTTTTCTTAGCAGCATTTTGAATTTGTTCTACACCTTTCAATAATTCTTCCCTAACATACATATTAGTCTCTTTATTTTCCAATAAAGCCAAAATTACAAAAGAAGCAGTAAGGTGACATGCATAGAATAAAATATATTCTTTAATATTATTAAATAAAATCGGTCCAAAATGTAGTTCTGCCTTATCATCATTAAAGACTTGTGGTGAAACGTCGTTTTTTGAACCTTCTTGTTTAATTTGTAGTGATTTAGGCGGCTTCCGATGTCCTCCGTGAACTAATACTTTAAGAGTACGATTAATATAAGATAACATAATATTATCATTCTCTGCTTCACTCGGACTTTTATTAGTTAATCTTGCTATATTTTCTAAAATTGGCGTCTTTTGTTCTAAAGTTCCATCCGCACGTAGTAATATTTCGCAGAGGACTTGAGTTGAATAGGTAAACAGGAACATTGATGATGTATTGTTTTGTGCATATTCTATTAAAGCAGGTGAAATTGCTTTGCGAAGCTCGTTTGCACGTACAATTGGATCTTTTTTGCTATAAAATCGAAAATTTTAATTAATAATTTTTTATCAACGAAATACAAATAAATATATTAGATTAGTACCTTGTCTTTGTGCGTATGTCATCACCAAGAGCAAGCAGACGTAATGTTTCATTGCTAAAGTATAAAGTAGACCTATTTACCAACAAATATAGAATTACACGATGACCCCACTTATTTTGAAGAATATTCCTTAATTTATTCAATTTGGTCATTTGCTATTATAAATATAAAAATTATTTATCTGATAAGATCTTAAAATTAATACTAGAGAGGGGAAAAAAAACCAAATACAATACCTCAATAATATATTTTGATACAGCGACAGTATCATCAACAACATCAAATGCCCTCAATAATACCAGATGTCCATATTCT